GCTCGCGAACGGCTGGGACGGCGCCGTGCTTCTCCGCTGCACAGCCGGGGCCTGGCCGAGCGCTTTCCGCTTCCGCCCTCTTGAAGGTCACCGGGCCGGTACGTAATAGTCGCGCCGTGATTACGTCACGCGCGCGCCCGGCTGCTGGGCGGGGCCTCAGCGCAGAGCGCGCCCTCTTGCGAAGGCTGCTCCAGGGGGCGTGTCCTCGCGCCTGTGGCTGGGAGATTCTCCCGTGAGCCCCTGCACCAAGGCATGTGTGTGTGGAATAAATGTTGTGATGTGCAGTGAGGCATGTGCACCCCCAGTAAAACACATGATGGCTGTGTCTAGACTGGCCACTTTTTCCGGAAAATCAGCCGCTTTAATGGAAAAACTTGCCCGCTGTCTACGCTGGCCCCTTGAATTTCCGCAAAAGCAAGAAATCAGTGCTTCTTGCAGAAATACTATTCTGCTCCCATTCAGGCAAAAGTCCCTTTTGTGCAAAGCTTTTGAGCAAAAGGGCCAGTGTAGACAGCTCCAATTTGTTTTCTGCAAAAAAGCCCCGATCACGAAAATGGCGATCGGGGCTTTTTTGCGAAAAAGTGCATCTAGATTGGCCACAGATGCTTTTCCGCAAAAAGTGCTTTTGCGGAAAAGCGTCCGTGCCAATCTAGATGCTCTGTTCCAAAAATGCTTTTAATGGAAAATGTTTCCGTTAAAAGAATTTCCGGAAACTCATGCTAATCTAGACGTACCCCTGGTGCTAGCTGTGGGCAGTCTGCTGGGTGGCATTTGAATCTCTCCTGAGTGGCCACTCCAACAATCAGTTTACAGGAAACACTGAAGGGACCCCAGATGGTCAGAAGAAAGATGGTTTTAGCACAGCCCCTCGTCCTGGGTTAAGGTCCTATCTAGAGGCTAGTGAATGCACATCACGTGGCCCTGGTATTGGAAAGTCAAGCAGGACTATTCAATTAGTCTGAGAAACAGCCACTGAAAGCGAGCAGAAGGGAGTCACTGTCCATGTGGAGTTGATTTTAACAGTTAGTTATAAACAATCAGTTTTCATTTGGCAGAAGAATAACAAATTCAGTGGTTCTCTTTGTATAGCATCTGGTATAAAGGGGCTTAATTGTGATAGAGATCTCTAAGTGCTACCATAAATGAATTGTTAATTAATAATAGTAAAAGCACTTCACTTTAATGTTCTCACCAGTGCCACTGTTCAAAAATCAAGCCAAGAGAATTAAAAATAACAAATATTCAGAGGAAAGTAACTAGAGCCAATGCATACATTTAGTAGGAAAATCTTAAAACCATCTACAATCAAATTACAGTCTTGTGAATGTTGCTATATACAGCACATGTTTAAATATATCTGTTAATCAAGATCGTCTCATCTGAAGAAGTGGGTTCTGCCCACAAAAGCTCATTAGGTATTTGATTAGTCCAGCCGTGGCCAACCCAAGGCTTGCGAGCCACATTCGGCTCTCCCCCCGCCCCCCCAGGTAAGGTTGCCAGATGGCTTCAACAAAAATACCGGACTCACTTGACATTACATCATAATCTACATTACATCTTATTTAGAAAATACCAGACATTTATATTTTCTCAATTTGTTTCCCAAACAGAAAACTCAAATACTGGACTGTCCAGTTCAAAACTGGACACCTGGCAACCTTACCCCCAGGTGCAGCTCACAAAGCCTCCCTGTGGCTTGTAAGCGGCCCCTGCGCCCCCAAAAATGGCCCTCTCCTCCCAGGACAGGGGAGCCTTGCAGCACGGCCATGAAAGCTGCAGAATTAAAGATGGTGGCAGGAGCTTTTTTTTTTTTTTTTTTGCTTGACCAAACATGACCAGGGCTCCTTTAAAAGGGGCAATCCTTTTTGGTTTTGCTCAAGAGCTTTGCCCTGGCTCTTCACGCTGGATCCACTGCTATCTTGAATCTTTGCCCAGAATGGGCTGGCCACCCCTTGACTAGTCAGTAGTCAACTACCTGATAAGCCTAGGCTTATGAGAAGCAGCAAGGGGGGGAAGGGGAACAGGAGCCAGTTTAAAAGCTGGCTCCCCTCAGCACCATTTCTGCCATGTGTGTGGGGGGGGGGAAGTTGGGGAGAAAGACAAGAGTCACGGCAGTCCCAGAGCTGGCGCAAGCTGGCTCCAGGCCCTGCTGCCGCTCTACATTTTAAATGTAGTAAGCCCAGCAGCTCTTACTACATTTAAAATGCAGAGCTGCAGCTGTCCTGGAGTTCGGGCTGTTCAGTCCCGGCTTGTGCCAGGTCCAGGAGCTACACCCACTGTGACTCTGCAGTGTAAATGAAGTATGAGCCAGGCTGCCTGTGCACCCAGCTCCTTCTAAATTTAAACTGCAGAGCCAAAGCGGGGGTGGCTCCTGGACCTGGCGGGAGCTGGGACAAAGAGCCTACCCTTATCAACTAATTGTGTAGAGACAATACAATTTGTATCAACTATACGATTAGCCAAATATCTATTTCTGAACATCCTTACTATGCATATATTTTTGTTAAGGTGCTACACGGCTATTTGTTGTTTTTAAAGTTACAGACTAAAACAGCTACCCCTCTGAGACTTAAGCCAAGTTTAGTTAATGTGAAATGTATTAGTAGTAGACAAATACTACTTTCCAAAACTTATTTGGGTATAGGTTCACACTCAGAGCACCCTGTAATACAAAACCTGTTCACAGTTGTTTAGCTAAAGTCCAAAATGTTTTTCTCTTTTAAATGGTGATTCGCATAGCATGTGTGAGAAATTATACTGTTTGTTTAAATGTATTGCTATGTTTAAATTTTCATCCTTATTAATTCATTATTTGATCTTGTTCTCTAGAACATGCATCAATTCAATCCAACTTTATATGACTGTGATAATAAACAATCAGAATGAAAGTGGCAGACATCTTACCCCTCCATCTTTATTTCATATCTCACTGCCCTACTTAACTTTCTTCCATCTTTACAACCAGTTCCCCAAAAAGCATACTTGTGTCATTTTCACATCCAAAAAGAGACCTACTATCAATTAGATGTCTAGAACATAAAAAAATCTCAAGTATTGATGAATAAAACTAGGACAATGATTCCACACACAGTTCATTGTAGAATGGGAATCTTATACAAATCTTAAGTAGAGAACATGAACTTACAGGCCCCAACTCCCCAAAACACCCATGATCAAAAAAAATCAAACTCGTTTGACTGACACTCGTGTGACAATAAAAGCCAATTTTTAAAAAAAATAAGCCAATTAAAATGTTTTTATTTATACATATGCACACAGCTATCAAATACAAGAAAGACTTTATGTACAATTTTATCAATATATATAACCAATCATTTAAAAACACCACCAATCTTAAAAGCACAATTAAAAGGGTATACTTAAAATAACAGACATATAACTTACTGTTGGTACAACACTTAAGATCAATAGAACTTGAGAACATACATTATTTCAATTTACATTGTGTATTTGACACCTCTTCATATGTATTTTAGCCTGTATTTTTGGTCCTAGATCTTGGGAACATTTGTGCTCAGTTTTACATGCCTGTGTAAATTGCTCAGTGAGACTACTCATGTAGTTCTTTGGAGCAAATAATCATATCTACAATACCTGTTCCAGTTGTGAAGTAGCATTGCATTGGGCAACCTAGGATAGCGAATGGGCTGCACAAGTGTTCCACCTTCATCTAAGCGTTTAATTACAAGACTATTGTAATTAGACAGTCTCCCAGGCTAGGGTAGTTTTGCTAACTGTGCTTCTGTACCTAGAATTTGCAGGGTGTGAATTCAACAGGACTACTAAAGTATGTGTCTATGGACCTTACAAAAGGATCTCCTAGCCAGGAACACTGGCATCAATAAAGCTTCACATCCATATGAACAATCTGACTGTAGAATTGGTGTCTTCAAATGTAGTCAGACAGAAACCCTGGCTTCAGTCTTGTCTCTAAAGTGCTTAGAATACTGTTGGCATTATAATAAAATAACACAAAATGAGGCCAAAAAAGTACCAACAACCTTGGTCTTATTGAAAGAAGTGTCACTTATTTTTCCCCACAAGACATGGTATTTAAACAGTGCAACAGGTGAGGCACAGCATTCCAAACAATGCTCCCTTTTCCTAAGAGGAACAGCATTTAGACTGTGGGGAGGTGTTTAAAATCCGGTCCTCTATTCAGCCTGCAAGAAATGGACACCAAACATTGTCTCTTAGTTACATGATCAGACACTGTCTGAGATTTTACTATTTCATTTACAATCAATACAAAACCAAGAA